AAAGACGACAATTTGTGGCACTGAACAATTTCAATTATTAACGATCAGTTGTTGTTCAAAATCAGTTGTTTATATCATATACATACATATATATATGTGTATGCATAGTACTATAACAACTCCTATAAGTTATAGGTGATCTTTTGAAATAAGCGTAATTGTCAAAGAGCATATTCAAGGTCTTAAGTTGATTAATTACAATACATACCATATATATAATATATATACATATTGTGTATATAAAATATGTATATAGTACAGTAAAAACTCCCACAAGTTAAAGTTCATCTGTGGAAATTACTATATTACAGTAGTTCCTCTTTATCGAGAAAGTAAATAGTTTCCGCTCGCCTGGGTGGAAAATAAGTGGAAAAGTGTTTGAACAACAAATGTGAGCTAAAATTAGTATATTAAACCTGAGCTCAAATGTTTTTAACTAATGTAAGTATTATCGCATGTTAGTTAAAACAAATTGAACTCAGTTTTTCATATCAATTTTTAGTTAAAATATGATGTAGGGTATTAATTTGTCTACTCTCTGCTTAAATCTGTAATGCACTTCTTAAATTTGTAAATTATTCTAAATACTCAGCATCGAGCTCTGTAAATGCATAAATTAAATCGTACATAACATAGCATTTTTAATTTATGCAAAAACGTATTTAATTCGTGCGCTTTTGTTATTTAACAAAATTTCCTGGCAACTTTTTAAACAAGCCTCAACAATTATTAAATGCAATACGTGCTCAAAAGATTTCGTGAGGTAGGAGGGGAGGGGCGGGCAGAGTCTTCTCAAAGCCTCAATAGAATAAACTAAAGTATCCGATAAACAACATGTGACTGTTTGTTAAGCTCTAAAGAAAAAAAATAATGCTCACACGTCAGACTCAGCGCTGTCAGCCGAGCGGAACGAGCTCTGCTAAATGTGGAAATGTTTCCAAAAGGTTTTCACTGTAGCCATAGAACACGCCCCGTTCCGCCCCTCCCCCTTGCGCCACCCTTTGCTGTTATGTTAATTAAACAAAGCAATTGAATATTTTATATGAATGGGCGAATGTTCATCAATTGATCGACTGACAAGCTTTCAACTAGGCAAACATTGGGGCTAAATCACAATCGGAAATTTTTGGGGTTGGTTTGTAGAGAGGGGGGGACGACTTCTCTGGAGAGTCTCTTCTAGGCATTTATGATTTGATCTTTGCTGATTGCGGCGAGTCGCATAGAGCGTGACATTTCTATTGAAATTCACATAAAGAACTTTTATATAAAAAGCAAATGAGGGCTTGTCGAGGAGGGGGGCGTGGCACTTGTTTTGCTCGCCTTTTGGCTGTCTTTAAATATTGACTCGCATTTAAGCATTTTTTGCTGGATTACGTTTTTTTTTTGCATTTAATTTCGTTTCTGCGGAAACTTTGTCGTGGAAACGCTTCAATTTTACATTAGGCAGGCAGAAAATACTTGCTGAATGGCTTTTCCTGTAAATGATTTAAATTAAAGTCGCATTAAAAGCGAATAAATTTCAATCTGTCGCACATTTTACATATGTATAGATATACTATATATGCGATGTCTTTGCTGAGCGGGCGATCGGCCAAAAGAAACGAATTGTTTTCGCGCAGACATTCCTCTGACTTGTAGCACATGCATATATATTCATATATATGTATATATATGTATAGAAAGGCCAAATAAATATATTTTATAAAAACAAATATACGTATTTATGTGTGTGTGTGTTCATGCGCTGCGCTTAACACAACAAATACAACTGACAAATGAAATGTGCTTAAAAAGTAAGGAAATAAATGTGCATCAGCTCAAAATTGTGGATGAATTATAAACCAGAGTTATGAAAAAAAACGTTAGCCAGATATAAGAGCATAAAAATGACAAACTTTGAAAATAATAATGGGCCATGCTTGATGACAATTTGTGAATGATTTTTTTAGTGAAAGTTATATTTAAACAAATATGTTATTCATATATCTTATATGATGTTTTTTTTTTCTACCTATTCTTTCCATATTATAAATCTTATGCTTCTTTTATTTCTATAAATTCGTATAGGTATATATATATTGTATAAATATGTTGTTCCTAAACCTTATCTGATGCGTTATTTTTTTTATACGAAATTGTAGTTCGACTTAGATAACAACGCGTAGCTCGTAAATCCAAGTTACGTCAAGATATTAAAAGAAAAATACAACAAAATATTTAATATATTTACATTTTAATGGAAGCTATGCTCCGAGGCATAAGATTTAATCCAAGTCCATTTGCAAAGCTTAGTTAGAGTATATGCAGTCAATCAAGTTTTCTAGCGATACTTCTTATTTTACATATATAGAATGTATACTTGGAGATCGGCGCTGTTTGCCTTAAGTCGTGATAAACGTGTAAAACCCTTCGCATGACTATAAAAAGTCATAGATGTTAATTATAGTTTGAGGTTTTTCTAATACATAAGTTTTCATATATCAAAATCAGATTAAATTGTAAATAATATATGTATATATATTTTTATAAATATTAATACATAATAAATAAAATACAAAAATAAATCTTTGGCATCAACAATTTATGTTAGAATATGTTGAAATATTTCTACAATTAGCTGCAAGAGCTTTCCCCAAGTTTTGCTGCTAGTCGCAGGTTTTCGACTTGCCAACACGAGCAATAGCTATTTATAGCCAAGTTAAAGAACAAAGTTTTTTTTTTTTGGCTACCTCAACCGATCGATGTGTAAAGCAAAAAAAAAAAAAAAGCACTTGTGAATGGGCCGTCAGAGTTTTATATAAATATTTGCATGAGGCTCGTAAAAAGGAAATGTTGCTAATGAAATTGTAAAGCAAGCGCACGATTAGCGGGCTGTAAATGGGTTTGTTAACATCGAGATTATATATATCTATATATCTATATATAGATATATATTATCTAATTATCTATATATTATATATAGTCAGGTTCAGCTGCGTTAGGTTTTTTGAGTTTTAAAATTCAATCAAAAACTGTTTTGTATTTTATTATGAATTAAATTCCTACGCCAGACGCTGCACACAGCAGAGGCAGCCAGTCCCAAGTTTTGGTCCCAATTGACCCAATTTTAATGCAATTTAAGCCCTCGAGCGCAACCTGTGCAATCCGTGCGGCCTTGGCTCCAAGTAAATGAATCCGAAACCGGAAGACTTTGCTGCCAATTACCGTGCGCCGCCTTCGACAAAGTGGAGCGAGTTTAATTGCGCGCTTACACGCAATTTCCTCAGCGTCATCATCATCATCTTAATCATCATCATCATCATCATCTTGCTCGTCGTCGTTGGAATTGTGGAAGTTTACTTTATTGCCAAGCGCAGCGGCGTGTGTTTGCCCCTCAGACGTTGGCTCTTTTTTGTTTGTTTATTTATTTATTCAGCTATCTTTATTGGCGCAAGCTAAATAAGTAAAGCTGCCGGGCTATATATATTAAGATGTGTGTGTGTGTGTGTGTGTGTGTGTGTGTGATTGTGTACACTTTTTGCGGCTCTCACCTGCCATTGATTTTGGCCACAAGTTCAAATGCAAATTAATTATGTTTGCCGGTGGCAAATATGCAAATAACGAAAACACGACACGTGGCCAGATGCAAGCAGCTGCCGGGCAACGCCGGGCGTTTTTCCACGTGCGCTGCAGCGCAACAGTCAACAAATTTTAACTACAAAATAATTGCCATGCTCTGTTATCTGTGTAAAATGCGATAACTAGTTGCAAATTGAGTGACTCTCAAACTGTAAGGCCCCGCCCAGTGACTTTCAAAGTGTCGAATATATCTGCAGATAGTTGGGTTTTTGATTGATTTGCGCGGAAGTTTATATGTAGCTTGGCATGAATACTTTGATTGTTGAAGATATTTTGTGGAGATGAGAAGATAATCAAACAGACTGTGCTAAGCCCAAATATACCCTTTAAGTGAATATATAATACATAAACTCTCTAAAGCTGTACAAATTAAATAGTTTGAACATATTACATCTAGGTCCCATGTCCCATGTGCCCTCTGCCATGTCCCATGTACCATGTACCATGTACCATGTACCATGTCCCATGCACCATGTACCATGTACCAAGTCCCATGTACAATGTATCATGTACCAAGTCCAATGTCCCATGTCCCATGTCCCCTCTGTCATGTCCCATGTACCAAGTCACATGTACCATGTACCATGTACCATGTACCATGTACCATGTACCATATACCATGTACCATATACCATATACCATGTACCATGTACCATGTAACATGTACCATATTCCATATCCCAAGTCTAATGTCCCATAACATTCTTCTCATCAATATCCCAACAAATCCAATTATAAACAGTATGACATTTAGGTATACACATTAAAGTAAGCTAGCTGAGATCAATTTTAAAATTCTAGCAACAGAAAAAATGTTAAAATATTTATAAATAAATCTTTAATGCACATATTTCATTTAAATATTGATGTACTTAAAATTTCAACGCGATCGTACAATAAACACAAAAAAAATATACAAAAATATGTTCCAAAGTGCGAAACAGTTAAAACTGACGGCAAAGAAATACTCAACAAATAAGAATGTTTGTTATGGCGATTCAAAGCTACAGGGTATCTGCAAGTCAGGCATACTTAATTTTTGTAAAGCTTCAATAGATTATATCTTATTTATGTGCCAATTGAGCAATAAATCCTAACAGGCCAAAAAGACGCACAAACAGCACGGCTTTGGAATTAGAGTAACAAAAAAGGGTTTATAATTCGCAAGCTGTTCAAGCACGTAATAAACTATATGTGTAATGCTTGGTGTTTATCAAGATTTGTCATTGCAAATATGAGTAAGACTCATGACAGCCTGTTGCTAAGTGCAATTGTGTGCTGCTTGAGGGGTATTTTCAAAGCAAGCATGCCCGACTAAACGCATGCAATTGCAGCTACTTATTTAAGGTATATATTTATAACAATTCACTCTTCTTTCGCAGATCATCACGTGCACTTCGATGCGACCACTCTGAAGACTGATGACTTTGGTTCGGACAGCTGTGTTACGTATCAGCGCTCGGGCGATACGATTGTCGTCAGTCTGGGCTTTCTGCAGATCAATCATCGCTATCTGATTGATCTGAATTTGCCGGTCAGTCTGTTTGGCAATACGGGCGCGCCGGGCACCAAGTTTGTGCCGGATGTGAGCGCCACACCGAATCTGCATTGCCGGATCACGGAGTTCACGGGCACCAAGCACGACGAGCACGATTTCTATGAGATGAAAATCGAGTTCTTTGCGTACAAGGAGAAGCTGTTGCGCGAGGTCCTCCACATTGTCAACTCGAACAATGCCAAGGAGCTGCTGCAGCTGGTCATTGCGGCGCGTGTCCTGGGCAAAGGCAAAGGTACGCCCATGCTGCGCACGGGCATACATTGCATAGGCGTTGAACGGGACGATGATGATTCCGAGTCCTCCGATTTTGCGGGCTTCGATAAGCCCTAAGGTGGACCGCAACACCCACACACACACACACCAACACACATATACAGACATCTGTCAGTTAGTTCTGGTTTCTTAGTTATTTGCATAGTATTTAAGTCAAATATTATTCATAATCTTAAATGTTAATTTATAGACAAGTACACGAATGTATATTCACATATTGAGGCAAATCGTGTTATGTGTCGACTCATTTGAGCACTCGACGGCAAATGTTAACATTTTTAATTAATTCATTTATTTGTTGTTGTCAGTGTCAAGTATTTTGTATGAATGCAAATTTTGCCAATCACTTGAGACAATTGTTGTCAGCATATTCCGAAATATGTGCAAAACAATCGCATTTTGATTGGCAATACAAGTTTGCCTTTTGTATTAATTCAAGTTTATTCGCATATTTCAAGTACTTTTGTCCCGTATTATATGTAACTTTTACTTGCCTCTGACATGCTAAGTACTTATAGAAACTCTATATTTAACAACTTGAGTTACATGAAATGCCTGAAATGTAACAAACGGAACCAAGTTAAAAGTGTAACTAAATGTGTCACAAATATTATGCGAGCTGTTAGCGCAGAGAATTTTGATGAATAATGCTTGAGAGATATGAGAATCATTAATCGGAACTCGTAATCGTTTATTAGAATTCTCTGCTGAATGCGTGCATTGTTTAAATTTCTTTGCCGAAGATTTAAAAGCTCGAACCTACTTATTGTACATTCAAAGTATTTTGCATTTCTGTTAAACCAAATCAAGATTTGGAAATTTATATAAACATTTAAGGAGCAGTAAAAACGTTGCAACGTTTTACTAAAAAATATGCACCTCTTAACTAAACTCAATGACCAATTAGCAGGCCTTCTTTTTATAAAGAATTTAATCTAGTGTATAACTGTGTATAGAACTAATGCTCAGCTAAAAGAGAATATTTAACAGTAGTTTAACAGTAAAATGTAAAATGAATATTTAACAGTCGTTTAACAGTGCAATTGCCTGTTTTCAATCAATTTTAAGGTGCTCTACTTTTAGATATTGTAAATGTTTATAACTGAATTAACTATGGGGCATTTGTTTAACAAATTATGAAAAGCAATTTTTTATAATATATCATATTATACACATGCATTTGAATTAAACAGTTTATTGAATTGATTGTAAATTAAACTACATTTAATAAAAGCCAAAACAAAGGAAACCCCAGTAGGCCACATTCTTTATTATATACTCAAACAGGCGACACTTTTGTGGCAAATCAATTAATAAATTCTCGTTAATAGAACCACACAAGTTAATAGAGTTTGGCGAGTTTTTCACAATTTGTATACAAGAGAAATGGCGCCCAGGAAACGGAAAGCAGCATCTTCTGCATCAGTTGTCGGAGCTGGCGGAGACGGGCCCACGCGTGCAAAGCGCCCAAAACTGGAGCAGCTGAAGCAGGTGGAGCTAATGGACCTGCCAGTTGGTCCGTTGCATCTAATCATATCGAAAGTAGATCCCGATAAACAGCATATATTGCGCCATGCATCCAATCAATTAAAAATGGAGCACTCGGACTGCATGTTGCATAGCTACAAATCGTTTGCCAACTTTCATTTGCGCCAACAGAATGGAAACGATGACCAGAACATGCGGCACTTTGTGATGCAGGTAAGACATTGAGAGGAAAACAGAGAGAGAGAGAGAGAAAGAGAGTTCCACATTAACTGTATCCACTTTTGTGTGCAGGTTTTGGCACAGTCCACTGATTACTTCATCAACTCCGGCTATGATGCAATATTTACTGGCAAGCTGATGAAATTTTACAAGCAACTGACGACGGGCGAGGAGGCCATCGATGTCACACAGATGCATCAATTTCTGCACGAGTTCTATCACAATCTGGAGTGGACGCCAGCCGAGTGGCCAAAGGGTGCCGCAGCCCGTCTACATCTAAATCAGCGTCGGCTAGTACAAACCATGACGCTCCTGAATCTCTTACGAGTGGGTAGAGTCTAACTTATTATGCGCTGCACGCATACAAATTTTTGAACAATCTATTTTTGGATTTCTCAGCAATTTCGCAAATTTCGCGTTGTCAGCTCGGCCATGAATCTGATGCACTGGCAACTGCAGCTGGAGGTGTTGGGCGTGCATTTTGGCATCCAAGAGAAGGACACAATTGCCAGCGAGGAAGAGAAACTCTTCGACTTTTTGACCATTATCGCTGAGCTGTTGGTTTTTGACAAGGCCAAAAGTAATGTAAGGTAACTTACTTGCACACAACTCAGCTAAATTCATTTTAATTGAAACGATTTCTAATTTGCCTGCCAACACAGCCGCTTAATTGAAATTGGCAACAGCGTCTACGTCTACGGCCTCAAGGAGCAGACCTTGTCGGCTCGCTGTCCCAAGCTCAATCTCAAGTTCAGCGTGTTGGCCCCAGTCGCACTGCGTGGCCTGCTGGAGGACGTGATCAACGGCAAAGTGGACATGACAAAGGCTGTGCGCTGTCCACTGGTGGACACATTCAGCATTCAGTTGGAAGTGAAGAGCAGGCAGGTCAATTTATGGGGTGGCAACAGTCGCATGGAGATCTGCATAGTGCCCCTCCATTAGTTAAGACCCTGCTGAGTTTAGCTAATTATATTTTTATTTTTGTTAACATTTTTAAAAAATAAAATCCATTGAAGGTGCTAAGCAACAAGAATTTCACTTGCAACACGCGCAAGCTCTGACGTCTCATTTAAACTAAATATGCGTTTAATTAATCGCATTTTTTGTTGCTCTGCGTGAGGAATTCTTTACTTTTTTCAATGTTTTTGTACATTGAGTGTGTGTAAAGCGGGTATTCTGGTTATGCGCACATGCATGCAACAAACAGAAGGTCCGACCATATAAAGTAATTATATTCTTGATGAGCATTAATAGACAAGTCGATCTAGTAAGATCTCTCCGTCTGTCTGTCCGTTTGCATGTACGCATCGATCTCAGAAACTGCAAGAGCTAGAGAGTTTCTTTCCGATAATCAATAACTTGCTCTATCCAAAAGATCGATAAAAATCCATATCCATATCCGAAATATTGTCTATTTGTAAATATATACGAAAATTCTATAGCACAAAAGGAATTACTGTTGTAAATTTATATGTTATATATATAAAATAAAAGTTAATAAAGAAAACGTCTGGTTATACTGGAAAGTCACGTGGCTGCAAGCGCAGAGCACAAGAAATTCTGCATATGCACATTCAAATGTTCGTTTTAGAGGGTATTATAATTTTGTTGTGAAATGTGTAACGCATAGAAGGAAACGTCTCCGACCCCATAAAGTATATATATTCTTGATCAATATCAACAGCCGAGTCGATATAGCCATTTGCGTCTGTCTGTTTCTATGCGAACTAGTCTAGTTATCAATATGAAACTTTGCAAAAGTCCCTCCTACTGTTGCACGCAGTACATATGTCAAAATCAGCTGGATCGGACCACTATATCATATAGCTGCCATAGGAAGGATCGATCGAAAATTAAGTTGTTGTATGAAAAACATTTTTGCTTATCAAAATATCTTGACCAAACTCGGAATTTTCCCTGTGCTTCTCAGAGACGCGCAAAGCAAAATGAGCATTATGATAAGGTGGGGTCGCAAGGGTATTAGATCTTCGTCGTGCCGAAGATAGCCTTTATTCCTCGTTTAATTATATATTGAAATGCATGCGATGAAATTTTAACTTATAAGAAACAAACAACCGCTTTACCATATATAATATATATATACATATTGCAATTCAGTCTTTTACTTCAGCAAGTCCAAAACACATCCACTCTATTCGCTTCTCTGCTGAAGACTGACTTCAAGATCTTTTATAATTGTCTAACACTCTTTTCTTATTCTTAGTTATCGAACAATGCTTAACAGCTAGCTATCGATAGGAGCTGCACTTCACTGTTGTGTCGCTAGCAGCCTGCTACAGTAAACATTTTACATTTTTAAATAGTTGTTCTTTTTGCACAAAATGTTAAGAAACCCCAAAGCATATTATATATAGTAGTATAGTATAGTATCTAATGTATATTTATACTCAGTTTAGTTATTAGTTATCAGTTTATCTATTAGAGCTTTTGTGCAGGTTGACAAAAGCTTTGAGTCACTGTGCATGTGAGCAAGAGTTGCTCAAGTGCACTGAATTGTCTCTTTCTCTCTTTCAATGCCCATTGCTCTTTATACGCTTGATCGCATTCATTGCTGCTAGCCAGTCAATTGCAAGTTGATCGTCGGGAGAAGCGGTCGGTGTCTCAGTCGGCGATCTTTCCAATTAATTAATTAAAAAAAAATGGACAACATGATGACATTCAAGGATAACAAGGCCCTAGTCATAGGGGTAAGCGTATTTGTGGTGGCCTTTGTCATTGGTGCCCTTATAATTCATCACGGTTAGTCGGTGCATTTACAAAAACCCTAATAAAAAATAACTGACAAATTCTTTGTTTGTTTCATAACTTAGTGTATCAATGATTGCCATCAGTATCCATATATATATATATATTTATATTCATATCTTTATGGAAGCATACTTATCATGTGGAGCGATCTTTTACCTGTGAAATTGCAGCATTAATCACCTCAATGTAATCGAATCACAATAATAAAATGTTTAATTGACTCAACTTCTGTATCAGTTTATCAACGTGCACCGCTTAAAAATGAAAAAGGGAAAGGTAAAGAACAAACAAAAAAAAAAGGCCACGATCTGAGTCGTGGGCGTGTACGTGTAGAGAGAATATGTGATTGTGTTTGTGGCAGTCAACCTGAACGACATATTATTCATTTGGCTATCGTTTCCCGATGTGTATGCGAGAGTTTTTTGGGATAAAGATAAATTTAACCAGTTTGCATGTAAATGGACACAAAAGAAAAACTGAGCTCATTGCTAAAAATAGTAACAGCAGCTCCACGACATAATTTAAATACAATTATTAAATGGCAAAACTAAAACATTGCCACATTAAAAAATCAGTCAAAGACGTCTCTTTTAATGCTTACATACACACAGACGACATGGAATATTTTATACCCTGGACGCATTTATACGAATATAATTTAGATGTGCAAATGTATATAACAGGCAAAGGGAAACATCTCTGATCCCATAAAAAATATATAAAAATATTCTTGATCAGCATTAATGGCCGATTCCATTAAATCATGTCCATTTGTCTGTCAGTAAATAATCTGGCATGTGATGACATTCGAGAATTACAAGGCCCTAGTCATAGGGGTATTCATATCTGTGGTGGCCTTTGTCATTGCTACTGTTGTGATTACCCACGGTTAGTCGGTGCATTTATTTAAATCCAATCAATCCATCCAATTAGACTAGCAAATCTATGCTTCTTTTCATACACACGTCCATCTATGATTGACAACAGTATATATAACATATATATATATATCTGTTTATGGAAACATTTCTATAATGTGAAGCGATTTTTTTACCTATAAAAATGCAGCATTAATCACCACCCATCTTTATACACGGCAAACAAGAGGGCTCTAGTGGCAAGTGCCCGAATAAGCGATAACCTAAACCCTCGTTTGCTTCAGTATAAAATGAAAGTTAATTCTTTATGTTTGATCAGCATCGCCCTATCAGCTCTAAGCAAAGTGACAATAATGCTTCTAGAAAAGTCGCAGCATACAACTTCAGTTTATTCAGTCATGTCCATTTGCCCGTGAGTCATTTCTGTTCAAAGGCATTTTACGCGTGCAGTCTGTGCACCAGAGTGTATGTATTTTTGAAACCTTCGGCTGCTTCTTTGTATTTTTATACCCTGAACCCATTAAAAATGGGTATAAGGGTATATTGTATTTGTGCAAAATCCAAATGTATGTAACAGGCAGAAGGAAGCATCTCCCCATAAAGTATATATATTCTTGAACAGCATCAATAGCCGAGTCGATCTAGCCATGTCCGTCTGTCTGTCCGTCTGTCTGTCCGTCTGTCTGTCCGTCCGTCCTTCCGTATGTATGAACGCAAGGATTAGATGTAGGTGCTCCTAGGGCCTGGCCAGATCGAGTTTGTTTGTTAAAATAAATAGTCCGTTTCCAAGCAATAGATAAAAATCGATCATATAGCTTCTAAAATAGAATATAT